ACGTCGTTTACTGTCATCTGCAGCTTTTAGGCATACGACACCAATAATGCACCAAGGCAAAGAATGCAGCACGATATTGCTTTTATTGCTCAGCATTGTCCGTCCAGTACTTCCGTTTCATTAATCAAGCTCAGCCCCTGAAAAATCGTCGCCCCCATTGCACCCCACTTGACGTGGTCATTCAGTCAGCCCAACCCTGCATTACGAGCACCTATATAGCGGTGTAGGATTACCTCCCCCATCATTAAGCCTGTTGCCCTGCCCCTCCCACTTCCTACCTTCCTCATTACGTTGACAAGGCCAAAACCCGTTCGGTAGCCCTCGGCAGAAAGTGAGCTTTCCCCATCCATGCCCATTTCACGTCGCATCCCTAGAGTTGTAAGATAACTGATAATGCTCAGTAGGGTTAAGGGCAGCTTCAGGCCAGATCACGCAAACACAAGGCGACTTCCACTATTTCACTTCTGCTTGATATGAAAAAAAGGCATGAACAACTCTGTGTGTTGTGGTTTTCGTGTACGTCGTTAAAAGCCGCGTGAACAGGAGCTGCTCCCTGCGCACTGGAAATACGTTGGCATGTATTGCCTGATATGAATTGATAAACACGAAAACGTCCACGGTGCAGTCAGCTTTGGATTTAGCCTGAGGATAGGCGCGTGCATTTCATAACAAAGTAGGTTTCGTCCTAAAAAAGACATTGGCTGCTTTCAGGCTTTACCTGTGTAATTGCCCTTTAACTATGCTACGACCAGTCGGCGGTTTCAAAATATTGGTATAGACCTTGAGAAGCCCCGCGGGCATTGCGCGGTCTTCCTCTTGTCCGGTCGTTAAGACGTTCTGGGAAGATCACCTATCCGATCGTAGGGAATGTACTGCAGAGTTACCCTGGAATGATGCAGTAGCGGGAGACCTCGGATGACAGACTCACAAAATACATAAACGTTGTCGTGAAGCTGAGGTTTTGCAACTGCTCAGTCCGTCAGTAGTGATTGTCATACCTCTGTCTTGAGCACTGGGTTTTTGTTTTTCATTGGCCCAGAACATTCACGTGACGGGGCAACAAAACCGCATGTCACACCTCCCTTTAAGGCGCCTGTCCATGTGCGCCTCAACACATGCGCCAATCGTTGCGTATCCGTCAAATCGCTCCTGCAACGATTTTGACGGCCGAACGCAACGCACACGTGTGTTACGTTAATGGCGTCGGTTTTTGTCCGTAAAAGTGAAACGCATTAACACAACATCTACGCAACGCCCCCAAAAACGTACATGGAAAGGCGCCTTTAGACGTCACGTCAGCCAGTGTTGAAAGATGTCGCACGCACACACGCGGCCCCACGTTGTCCAGAGTAATCTCTGTCGCCTTTAATTTTCCCTCAAGAAACACAGGTGAGAAACATCATCAAGGCCAAGATATGACAGCACCCTCGAGTATGCATAACGCCCGAAGCGGCAATGTGTCCCCCGGGTCATATCCCACATCACAACAGTCACTAATCGTTAATTAATAGCTAATAGTCATCATACCTAAAGGAAAATATCACATATGTGCCGCAAAAACCGCAGTATGCAGTGTAACACCCTTTGTATCTCTGTCGGACCATTTGTTATTAGTTGGTCCCATATTAACAGTAAAGTTGTGGTTCAGCACCTTTGATATCTTTAAGGACTCTTGTCCTATATGGAAATCCGAATTGCTGAATTTAACATCCTTTTGTGTCTCCTTAAAAGAAAAAATCAATCTTGCTCTGCTCCTGTTTAGAGGCCAAAGGTGATTTATAACATCCTTGGAATCTTTGTTGAAAAGCGTAAACACTTGTAATTCTGGTCCTGTATAGATGACAAACTGTGTTAGATTTAACCACGTTAGTATCTGAAGGACGACAAGCGCTCTTCTGGTTCAAATGTACGTAAGACCGGTGGTCTTATTCTAATACTGCACATGTGCTAATGATAAACACACGCCTGTGGGGTCACTGCACTATTCTGATACCTAAGGTTGCAATGTAAAATCACAGGTTTTTTTTACAGTGTTTCGACTGGACACTAGTGTTGATACGTTTCCCCGTTGTAAGTGTGAATTCGAGTATAGCGTTGTTTTAGTGATCGGAAAGTAAATGTGCATAGACGGACAAAAGTATATTCAGTGATTTTCGAAAAGAGGTACCTTGGGTCACACGACGTTGTCCCTCCGTCCAGCTAAAGCTGATAGGTATCATATGGGCTCCGAGCTGGACCAAGAGAGTGCGCAATTTTCCAAGCAACGAAGCCTCCTTTGGTAGTACCATGGGCTGAGTTTGGGCGGCTTGTTTCCGTCTGGTCACGAACAGCTCGATTTGTTCGTGGGTCGGCCGCTCGACCGCCAGGAACAAACAACCGGTTATCGCTGGTAGTTAGTGACAAGCAAAATGCAACATGGCGGCGTCCATGTGCGTTATTCGAGAGTTAATGTTTGGATGGGCTTAATTATTTTCTATATAAACAGGAACATTCATTTCTGTGTTACAGAAAATAGTTAATGTTAATTTTCTTAAAACTTCCCATTGTCTATGGCTTTGGAAGCCATCTCTCTTCTTTTTGCAGCTGTTCAGAAATCAAAATCTCCCGAGTTTTCCGTGTGTTCCTGTAAAACCCTGACGAGGAGGTGATGTGTGATCCTGTTCCGAGAACAGTGTTCTTGAGTCGTGTTCCCGCCGTTCGAGCGCGAGAACAAGAAACCCGTGTCAAGAACAGGCCGCCCGAATTCGACCTGAGCGTCACTGGTTCATGAACGATTATGAAACGCAAGCATTGCAGGTGCATCATTTTCTACCAACAAAATGAACACTAGTGGAAGGTTTAAGCCTATTATGGCGCATTGATATAAGCAAGAAAACACTGAGCACGGTTTAGATATTGCAGCTTAGGTAATGGATACCTTGCCCTGAATGTATTTCTAACGGATTCATTTAACAACTCATTAAGTGCAAACACGATGCCGGAACAATTCTCTTGACCTCCACTCGCACGACAGTTCTCCTTGCTGGCGCCAAGACGAAATAAAAAACCTGCAGACTAGCACGGTCATCGGAATAACCCATAACGTAACGGGAGCACCGGTCGAGCAGGAGGTAACGAATGCTAAGCGAAAGTTGAACGGCTTTGATGGGCTGCGCGGGGAATAATTTCCACAGTAATGGACAGTTGAAGAGGTCTCACTTTGTGAATCCAATAAGGGGGACGAGGATGTGTCTTGAGAGTCGGACAAGGTCAAAAGGTATTCAGGGCAGATGGATGTAAAGACGAAGACTCGTCTAAGATGATGCCTGTCCGACAAGTCCTGTGTGAATTCTGCAGTTGGCATCTCCCTGAAACCGACAAATCGGTGCACCGGCGACAAAAACAGACAGCGTATCAAGGCAAGGGGTCGACATTTAACAGAAAATGTAAGTTGGGTTATTATAATATTGTGAAGACACACTTTGGATGTAGACCCAGTGCCAGTCTAGTCCTGGTACCCGCTGTGGTAGTCCCGCGGCCGGTTCACGCGGCTCGCCAGTATTTGAAAGGCAGCGCCGCGCAGCTTTCCGCTTTTTCACGCGGCTTTTCCATATTGCTTCCACGTCGCTTTTCTCGTCTCCTGTTTTCACTCTGGTGCATTTGCTGGAGCAGTTTTTTCGTGAGCAGTGACAACTCTTGTTCTGCGTGTGGAAGGGGACCTACCTGGTGGGCCAGTACTGAGTGGTCCGACTAGCTTTAGAGAGAGGAATAATCGACCGAGCTGTGTGATTACGAAAGAATCAATTCAAGTTGACGCCTACTTGGGAGTCACCTTCCAAGGCGTAGGCACAATAAACCGTTATACAAGTTATACACCAATAAATGTGTTCCTAGAGTCCCTTAATAAGCCCAGTGAGTGAGTGTTCTCTGATGTTCTATTGTGCGTGGGGGTAGGCTCCTCAAACTAAGCTATGTCCCGACGTTTTCCCGACAGCCGCTCGTCGGGAGGGCCTAATGTCCTGCATCAGTGTAGTAGCACGCTTCCGCGGGTGTGAGGGTCGGCGGTATGCTACAATATTACCTCCAAATGATACCATTTGGAGACGTTCGAATAGACTTACGTACGACAATAGACAATATTTGACGGCATGGAACTCCAGAACGGTAAAACGTATTCAAACCGATTCGGTCCACTTCTGTGAGACTCTTGTCAAATATGCCCACAACAAAATCATCTCCCTACTAACCTTTTTGTAGAGGTGAGAGAACAGACGTTTTAGATTCAACACATTTACAAAAATCCAGTAGTAAACATACTTTTTTATTGCCTTTGATTTGTGATTTTTATGTCTTCTTCTGTTTCTGTTTTTGTCTGCTTACTTAATTCAAATTAGTTTAATGTTATGACCTATTCTCTTGGGAACTGGCCAAGTATATCCGTGGGCCCTCTGCCAGCCACGACCATTCTTCTTTTTTGGAGTGCTTATATATACTGTGTTTGCTGATTAGACTCTAAGACCCTCTCTGAAGATTGATGTTTAAAATAAACCAGTCCAAATCCAGAATACACAACAGTGTAGCCATAGTGTCAACCAAATAGACTGATTCGGTTATGGAATGGTATCAGTCAAAGTTTGAACCCGGACAGTTATCAATTTAGCACCCAGACCCTTTAAATGATTTTTCTGAAGGAAGACCATCTGTATTCCCTACACCATTGCCGTTTTCAATGCCATTCGCCTACGCATGTAGATAAGACAGTAATATCTCCTCACGCGAGCAAGTCAATGTGTCACTCACACGCTTTGTCAGAAACAAGTGGGCGGTTACATGCGCTTCGTGACCCGAGAGTGCGTTTGGGGTGACACTGCTGTATTGTTCCTTCATTTCCTCCGTAGAAACTAGCAGTGCATTGAGAGCTTCACTGCTCCAGTCGCCCGGCACTGCCTCGGCGCACTGACGTGGTGGACCACTCTTTGGCTGATGCATTCAAACCTACGCTGTCGATCATTTCTTGCTAGGTACGGATTTTACTTACAAGCTCAACCGCTGTAATCGCTAGCCGGTTTGGAGAAGATCCAAGGTGGAAGATCAGGAGTATTCTTGCGTGTGTCGTTAGAGTCCCAGCTCAATGGAGACGTCGGAAAAGGTTCAGGATGGACAAAAGGTAGGGTTAGTTTTTATCAGTTTTAAAATAAAGAGCTGTTGTAATTGTCTAAACATGTTTGGGTTTGTTTTTGCGTAACGGACAAGCTCTGAATTTCACAAAGAAATTGTATTGTTGCTTTAGACAGCAGACTTGTAATGAGTGAAAAAGTTTTGTGACTCTAGTCATTGCAGCGTAGTGACTCGAATTGAGTTGAGCCGTTGTTCCGTAGTGACTCGAATCGCGTCCAGAATTGAGTTGAGTCAAGTCGAGTCACAAATATTTCAACATACAATGTATAACAGAGAGAGAACGTCATTTTGTTGGCATTTTTAAATTCCCTTCTTCCAAAGTCCTCTCTCTAGTAAATTCACCTCTGTTTTACTACATCGTGGTCACACCGCATCTTACTCTTGATGGTCATTTTATACGACATGGACATCATAAACCGGCACTGTAATTGACCACAACTTTGTGTTAGTTTTTTGTTTGTTGGGTTGTTTGTTGGGGTGTAGGGGTGTTTGTTGGGGTGTTGGGGTGTTTGTTTGTTTGTTTGTTTGTTTGTTGGGGTGTTGGGTTGTTTGTTTGTTTGTTTGTTTGTTTTGTTGCACTGAAGTTTGCTTCTATTTTTTGGAGTCGAATCTTAGTATTTTTCATTCGAGTCTTGTCTTTTGATCAGGCAGTCGCCAAAAATTGTGACTTGAGACCAACTCGAGTAGAGTCATTGACTTGAGTAGTTACAACTCTGCTTTACGGACCAAGTGAAAGTCACTTTTCGGTAGAAATTTTTACTTGCGTGTTAAGATCTATGTCTTAAGACTTTTTAAATGAAACATTTAGCGATATTTTCAATAACGGCAGTACTTTGATTTCGAAAAGTTTAAAAGTTAGGCCCAGCCTCTTTGGGGAAAATGTCACACCCAACTGGTAGAATAGGTGTACTCCAAACCAGGATGCTTACAAGTGTACGAAATTGTTTAAGTGTTCGAAGGTGATCCATATAAAGAAAAAATAGATATCGTTCCGGAAACTTACGGTGGAATTTTGCGGATAAGAGAAGTGTAGCTCTGAGTTCAAAAATGCCGAATCATAAAGTGCGCAAAAACTCTTATACTCTGTGTAAGGATGATCGGAATAAACCCAGAACAGGAAAACAAGTTCCTTCGACTGGCAAGGTTCAACATTTAGGGACCTGGGAAGAGCAGTTTCAAAATATTAAATCAATCTATTAAAAATGGTTATTGTCTTTAGAAAAATATGTAGGTTTCCTAAACAAGGAACGCTTCGGTAATCAAGATTTCAACATCAACGTAGATGAGTTTGGTGCACCGCAGTGGTGCTTTGCGTTGTGTTATGCACATACGTAAATGGAATGTTGATAATCTTAATGATCAATGGTAGTTGAAGGTACCTTGGGTACCTTGTCCGTCGCCGACAAGAATCATTTAACAACTCATTGCTTGTGGTGGCACAGAAATTTTTGAAATGACTCCTCATCAAAAGAAAATTGAGGTATTTTGTGTTTTGCTTCCTGTCTTCAGTTAGAAATGGCACCAGGGAAAGAGAGTGCCCCCAAACCTCGCTTCCTGGGGATCTCCAGAACTTCTCGGGACTCCAAATGTTCACAGCAGGACCGATTCAGAGACCCTGTTTGGAGTGTCCCGTCGATAACACGACGCTTGCAGACTAAGCAGTGCAAGGCGATTATCCTCTGCATCGTCATGGGGCTCGTGCTGCTCCTTGCCCTGGTATTCATCCTTGTCACCGGTGAGTTACCAACCTCGTGGGGTTTTTTTTCTTCTCAGTGTTGTCAAATGTGTCACGGTGAGGAGATTTAGACAATGTCTCAAATTTTAAAAGTTGCAAGTTAGATCAGCGACAATCTATAAACCACTTGTCGATTTGCTTGGCGCCTATTATATAGGTCTGTGTTGTTATGAATAAGTATCCCTGTCAAAATCGACTGTGGTTGGCAATTTGTCACTGATCGAGCTTTCCGGAGATTGTTTGTCATTCTGACAAGCTAGCTTATCTAAATGAGGATGGAAGTATCGTCATTTTAGAAGCCCCTCCCCCTCACCTTAACGACATGACAGGTTTTTGTTCTTATATGAATGCCTAAGCCTGTGTCTTGACCCCTGACAAAGAAGGTTCCAGTCTGGAATCCTCTCCAAGAATTCCATCCCAATTTTATGTCCTATGAGGACTCGGGCGACGGTCGGGCAAAGTCAAACAGGTACATTTTCCATAACCTTTAGACTAAGCTGCATAGTGTGTACCGTCCTGCTGTTACGACTGGGGCTGTAAATTACACAGGTGCCCATTTAAGGCTCCAACCAAATGAGCCGCAGCCGCTGTGCGTAGACACGTGTCACTTGCGACTGCAGCCGTCATATTCACGCACGGCCTAGCACAGGTAATGCAGAGATCTTATGCACATAATGCATAAGGCACGAAATTCCAACTTTGACTCTTTGCTGTCGATTAAAATGCTCCATGCCTTATCTTCTCTTGTCTTGTACAGCGAAAACCTGACTCATATGAGCCCACTCATACGAGGCTCCTAATGTCTTCTGATGGAAGGGGTTGGGGGCAAGAGTGTGAAAGGCTGTAGTGTAACATCTTCGGTCTTAAAGGAAGTAACTGTGTTACCCATGGCACGTTAGAGTTTTTTGATTGAGAGAGAATTTTGATGATTAAATTCAAACATTTTTGGTTCCTGTGTGGCGTTTTGCATACATCAGCAGTGATCTCTTGATTGCACTTAGGATGGTTTCATGGAAAATGTTGAACTGGCCCTTTTTTTAATTTACCCAGCATCAGTAAAAATACGCACAGTTGGTGATGTGTTTGCTGCGCGCACTTTGATATCTTCATATTTTTTTCTATCACATTGCACTCGTCGACACCTCGGGGAAAGCCAAGACGAGGTGCCAGCAGGTTTTTAAAGCTGCACTGTTCCATTAGATTTGCTTAGTACTGCTTACCACCAACATAAAAAACGAGGCTTAAGCCCTTGCCAGCGCTGTGAAATCGGTGCTGGTGCCTGGGATGGAGCAGTACCTTCGAAACATTCAATCCGTCTGTGATTCCCCCCCCCCCCACATTACGTTTCACACTCTCCCTGAAATCAAGCAAGTTCACTTGTCATGTGCTTACTGTCCACAGTTACAGCCAATCAAGTGCCATTGGCAGATCACGAGGGCAGCATTCAAGCGGGACCAGCCCAAACAGAATATGAAGGTCAGTAGCCAGAGTTGTTCGGACGGTCCAGTTACATCTCCCGCTGACGTGCAAGTTTTAAGAGTGAAAAAGTCCCTGTAAGCTTCTTTTTTTTTTGCGGTTGCTCTTTTACGTTTTCTGTTACTGTTGCTGAACTTCGAAAGAGTAATCATTCACTTGCATTATTATGGAATAATTCAAGCCGGGCTTCGTAAGTGTTAAGCAATGGCGTAACGAAAGCGGTCGTTGCTTGCCTCTATGTCTGGGTTCCTCGTGTGTTTCTCCTCCTGTTAAGTTTTGAGAAGAAGTAAAACGTAGGAGTGGTGTGGTGTATTAACAAAAATTGGACTTGTGCATATCATGACCCTACCCCATACTGCAAGTTGGGCATCACTTACACTGCTCTCTGTAAGTCCTCTTTCCTATAAGACTGAAAGTACCGATAATCACAGCCATAAATAGTCCAGTCATCTCTTGAGATATAAGAACGGGACAGCTTAGCAGAATCATTTCCGGATCTTGTCCTCAGAACTGAGCGGGGATCCGTCGGAGTTTACCTGTCCGAGGGGAGAGTTCCAATGTGGAAACATGACCCGGTGCGTCGCCCAGAAATTCCAGTGCAACGGTGAGGACGATTGCGGCAACAATGCAGACGAGACAGAGTGCGGTAAGTTTGACATGGCCAGTGTCCCGTATCAGAATCCGTCGGGTTTTGTCGCAAAGATCCCATTTTATTTACCTCAGTTTTCGGGAACATTCACGTAAGAAGAAATGACAACGCTTGCTCATGTTATTAATGGATTTTCATAATCATTTCTAGGCCCCAGAAGAAGCGTAATTTGAAATATGGTAATGTATTACATGTCAGTCATATTTGACCTCATATTAAACGGGCAATATTTGGGATATTCCATTGCGATGATAAGTTTCTAGGTATATGGCACCAAACCGTGCGTATCAGGTAACCTGATATGTATACGTTGTAGGGAGTGTTTCAGTCGATGTCTCATTCGCATACCAGACTTTTCAACCTGGTTTTCCTGGAGTCGACATGAAAAAAGACATGACTCACTTTGAGTTTAAAACTATACTTGCTCCTCTTATGAAAAGATTCCATAGAAAATCAGTGCTGTTAATTGAGTTCAATGGTTAATAATTGTCTTTGTGAAAGCTTCCTAGGAATGTAATTGGTCATAGCTGTTATTGCTTTGGGCTATGTCTATCTTGTGATTTTTTTGTTCTGTTTCTTTTTTTAGTTTAACCACGCTAATTATCAACTTTCGTTTGGATTACCAATCACGATAAGCATTGTTAAGTTTGAAATCCTCCCATTTAGGAATTTGATGGTTCTTGACTACCGGCATCGTATCGGAAGATTGCAACAGAAGAGTGGAGCATTATAGTTCATACTTTCACAAATAAACTAATAAACTAGGAGGTATTTTTCAGTCAAATGGTTCAATGAAAACAAGTGATTTGGGGTCAAAGTCCAACCACGTTTTTCGTTGATTTCATTAATATTTATTGAAAACCACAGAATTCTCGACCACATTTGAACAAACAGGCTTCATTTTTACCATGATTTTACATATCTTAACTACCCACGTTTTTTCGCTTTTAAAGAGTACCTCTAAAGAAACAATGGCTACACGCACTGTTTGGCATGCACAAGGTTTTATCCACAACGAACACAGGGCAAGGGTTCGCCTCGCTTTCTCTGTTTTCTCCGAATGACGCAATCTACATTCAGAATTCGCATCTTGGCATGAACAGAAAAAAGGCCCTTTTTAGCTTGTTATAGTTGAGCTTTGAAAACAAATGACACTGCGTGCTCTTTATAAGAAGGGTTCAGGTGCAAACAGTTAATAAGCGGGGAAAATAAGAGAAGGAAAAACACGCAACACATCATGAGAGAGATGTATGCAGCTGCTTTGCTAAAGGTCAGCGGATTCCTGTAGTGACAAAACTACCCATTCACAGCTTTAAATAAAGCGCTGTGAGATCGAGGATGCAACATTAGTTGTCATTGATTGATGCGATGTCTCCAGGATAAGCCGAGAAATGTCAGCGGCACCATAGACATGGTTGTCTGTCCCATTCCAGTTCGATATTGCCCTCAAAGGTGCCCGTGAAAGGCTTGGTCTCGGACAGTGAGACCTGTGATTTTGTAGAGAATCATTGCATAATTCCATCGGCTGAATCTTCCGTTTGCTTTCGCCAGGAAGAATGCGTTGCCGGATTTGATGCCCCTCAGTAGAGAGGAAAATACACCAACGACGCATTTGGAAAAGAAAGACAAGACGGCAAATTCGTACAATTTGGGTAGACGCAATGGCGTCAGATGCAATTTATTTTCAGCTGTTTACTCTACCACCGATAGGTCCTCTTATATCCTGTTTTTGTTTTGTTTTGTTTTGTTTTGTTTTGGGGGGTTCCTTCTTTCTTTCTTTCTTTCTTTCTTTCTTTTTCTTCCTCTTAGGCGGGGGACGGGGGTATTGCAATATTCTCTCACGTGTCATTTTAACAGTTCCCAGCAGTAAAATAAAAGAAACCCAAAAGGATTCAGTGAAACATTATACCTTGAACGCTCCAAGATATTTTTCATATTTTCAGGCGTTGTTTTGTACCGTTTAGCAACTGGTGCTGCGACGCAACCCTGGACGGACGGTATACCGGCAGAGATTGTGCGATAAGGCAATATTCCATCTGTATTTCCATAAATGAAATTGTCAACCCCGAGCTATTTCTCTGTCCCCTGGATGTTAAATGCGTCAGCTGGTTCAGTCGATAGTTTAGAGGTCATGTGTTTGTGCTTTGTAATTGGAGTAAAAAGAACGATAATTATAAGTCCTTAAATGATATTCTTTTAATCTGTACTAAAATGTCGTAATACAGTCTTTAACAGATAAGTGCCAAAATGGGAATTAGATACAAATAGGCTTTTCGTGTTTTCTTTTCATTAGTAAGCTTCTCAGACCTGAATCTCTGAGCGATTTGTGTCCACATACTGTTCTCTCAAAGTATCAACACATTTTCAGAAAATCACATGAAAAATTTTCAGTTGAACCCTGGATACTTTTTGAAAATTCCACAATGACATTTGTCTGTTTTTTCGTTTCTTTTACAGTCAAATGATTCTTTAAAAGGGTTGTTTGTTATGAAAGTATGCTTGGCTTCTCCATGGAAAAAAGAATTAAGGGTAAATAAAACGAATTCATGACTGGAATTCCTTCTGTTTTTGACGAGTCTGTTTTCAAAATACACCTTCGCATCTTGGCACCTGTAGTTTCAGCAAACTAAGGAAGCCTGCTAAAGGAAACCCATTGGTTCCAATAACTCCGCGTTTATAAATTGATTCTGTCTCGATGGCAACAAGAAGAAAGCAGAGGTGTATTGGTGGCTTGCGGCGGATGCTACTCTATTCCTGCACCAGGTGTGCCGACTTAAGAGAAATCTCCGTTTTGCATCGTCCCGACACCAGCGGAGATCAACCGCTTTGTCGAGACTTCCTATTTGTGCGCGAAACCCACCTGTCAGGGTCGCCAAATCGCGTAGTATATGTTCAAAATGATCGCGTATAGGCTTCTGCGTTTGATGGTCATTTCACAGTTTCAATGCGTCGGAGTGTTCTCTCCCCATTGATCAGTATTTTTCCGCATGCGTATTCGTTAAAATGAGAGCTAAAACAATACTCACCATACGACGTCTGCAGTCATGCACGTTGAAGAGCTTCTGGCTTACTGCCAAGCAAGACTGTAGCTTTATTTGAAAGAGGTCTGGACTAGTGTAAGATACTGTATCGCAAGGCTACTTGTTTAAAGCGTATCAGCGACATAAGTTTCTTTTGCACATTTCTTCTTCAACTCTATGCCCTTTTTCAATGTTTGAATATCAATTGTCATCCTTTATAACTTAGATGAACTGAAATGTGTACTTTTTAGAACTCTACAAATTGCCAGTGGGTTCCTGGACAACCAAGGGCGCTGTAACTTTGATGTCATCCAGGGACCACGTGTTGCGGTGTGTAGGTTTTCTGATCAAATTGTGAAAGGAGAATTTCCTCACAGGAAACATCAAGCGATGCAACATTGAGGTTGTCTTCCCAGGATATACACATTTGTACTTAAAAATATGAAAATACCCGGTCTAATAAAAGGCAGCGATATGCACTTAAAATACGGAGGCTAAAATTTGAAATAAGGTTAATTGGGACACAAAGGGGCCTTTGGGAGGTTAGTATAGAAAAAATGTATTGCAGGGACACTTTAAATGATCTGTTTCTGAAACACGGATTTGAAATTGGCTTGAATGTTATGTGTCGTACCGCTTGTCTAGCAGAACTCTCAAGAGAATTAGTGTGTATCCTTTGGAAACCTGGAGGACATCATTTTTTTCTGATGGTGTTTTTATTACGTTGGTACCAAGTGCATTAAAGTACTCACTGCTGCTAGTCGTGGATACCAGAGTCATTAAAAGTGAACGTGCCACGTACGTATGAGACCAATATCATGTAAACTACATACCTACATCGCATTATTACGTAGGTACGCAATATATTTTTTGTTGGAACGTGTGTGATATTATTACGTAACTAGGCGATAAAAAGCCCCATCTTGGACTTCGTAGGATCTCTTCAAGACTGCATAAATTTTCATTTCAAACAAAATTTAACACAAGAATGTAGGTATACATTGCAGTTTCCTGAATGCCGTTAAGCCGCATTTGTGATAAATAATGTGAATTTCATTGAAAGTGATTTGATGATGTATAATATACGCATTGATCCTATTACTGTTGTCTGTGTAACCCTCAAGTTTTCATCATGTGACATCATCGCTCGATTAACGGTGTGTTAATCATTGCCGATTAACACTTTTGATAAAATGATGTTGATCACTTGCCTAGCAAATAAATCCTACATCCTCCACACTCCTTTTGGGTCCACCATTTTGGGGCGAAAACTGTAGTGTGACCAATGACCGGTCACTTCCTGCCGATGCGCATGCTCGGTACAGTCCCTCGTAAACGATCTCATTGAACCGTTTTTGCGAAATCCACACTATTTGGGGTTGGTTATATTTCTCGCTACTTTCATGCACGCTACTACTAACCAGCCATGCCGTCTTGTTAGGGGTTTGGTTCAATCCGCTTCGCAAATGCATGACTTGTGCCATGCACGCGAATGTACAAGCTCCCATAGCGTGAGCACTCAAATTGCGCGTTAACCTCCGGTGCCGTGGTTCCTTGTAACGAAGTGAGTACCGAAGTGTGACGTCACTGTGAACCAGCAAGTGCTAATGCCTTTTACACACTAATTGTGCGCGTGACATATTCACCTCGGTACTCTGTGCCTTAGGCGTGGTGGAAATTGTAGTGACGTCACACTTACTGACCAGATCTCTCCACACTTTGTTTACGTGTGTCACTTTTTATCAGCGCGTTAGACTTCTTCCCTCGCGTTTTACTTGTGATGTCGTCATAGATTGAGGCGAGCATGCGCAATATGTGGTTATGAGCAATGCTAGCGAGATGCCCAACTGGGTCATTAGATCATGCAGAAGCTAACTTTGTGAGTCGAATTTGAACTGTTAAAAGCAACTAATTATCTACGCACACATAAATCTGACCTTTATTTGAGCCAACTTGCCCCTACATGCAACGATTTTTCTGAGCTATATTTACAACGGCATTTCCGTCGCATCGTTCGATCCTGTTTTTGCATTGGATTGTGGAGTATTTATCTGAGTATTAAACCGGCTCGATAGATCAGATACGTGGCCCGGGCCCAAGGCGCTACTTTCTCCATACTCAGCTCTGGTCACACTTATGCACGAATAGGCACGGGAAAGTATTTGAACAAGCTGTAACGCTGTTATGTTTTGGATAGCTTTTGTTTTCACTCGAAGTTGCCCATTGAAGTTGGTCCATGTGGTTAAGGCTTTACCAGTAGCACGACACGAAAAATAGCTGGCCGTGCGGACGATGCCCGTTTTTATGGCTGACCTAAAATCACATTTGGTGTATCGAAGGGGTTCTTGCAAAATCCAGTTATCAGTGTGAACGATGTAATTTAGATAGCTTTGAGCCATTGACCCTATTTGTTCGAATACCCGACCGTTTCACAATTTCTGTAAATAGTGATGGACGGGAAATATTGATATAATTGGTTATTGAGCACTGAAAAACAGACATGACATTGTCACTGTTATTTGAAGTCAATGGTATTTGAGGCCACTTGTATCTAAACTCCTTGAGAACTACCGGGGGTAGCCAACGTGGACATAAAAACCTTGATGTTGAGTAACTTGTCCCTGAGATGAGTCGTGTTGTCTTTCAGAACATGACGAGGGCTGGATTAAAAACTTCGACAAACAAGTCCCTGTATCGGTCCAACCAGAACGGCGGATTAGCCAGGAGTGCGGTAAGTGGAAACATTTTGGTCCGATTTCACCGATTCAACACGTTTGCTTCAAGAACAAATCTATCCAAGTGTCTGTTCTTGGAAGGAGGAGACTAAAGTGCTCGGGGATTTCAATCTGGCAAGAAAAAATCCATGACGTAGGGTCTTCGGCATTCGCAGGAAGTTTTATTACTCACTGTAAAGAGTGGGCGTAGTTCGCGAGTTATTGGCGTCGTTGACGACCGTTACATAGCACGCCGCACGTCACCGTCGACCTTGTCACCCGTATCTATCGCATCCTCTATTTTTGTAGTTTGCCCGAGATTAAGCCCTTTCCAATGCTGGTTGATGACACTGTATTACCTGCTCAAGATCAGCATCAATATAATATGCCCGTATTGTGTGCCAGCATGTTGATGAGGATCTGAAATTCGAGAAAGATTAAGTTCAGGAGAAAGCTTCGATAGTGTCATTGCAGACCATTCTAAAATCCCCACAAAATTGGCCTAGGTTATTGTAAACCTCCAACGATGCTTTAGTGTATAGCCAAAATTAATGCGCATATCCTAAACTGATAAGGGACAGCTGCACAAGGCCAGTGTAAAGGATTTGTTTTATAGCAGCAACTGTGGATATGACAACACCAGGAATGCAACACGTCCTCTATCGTGTCTTCGTGTTGTTCTCGAGCATTATTCGGGTAGGCCTTCAAAGTTGTAAAATCTTGACTGCTGGTTAATTTGGATTACTGCGCTAATTACACCATCCTCCGATTCATAAATGATACCTCTCAAAATTTAAATTACGACGATTTGACAAGTTCAAGGGTTTTTTACCTTTATTAATAAAAGAAGAAGCTAAATTTTTTACTGCCTTTTGATCGTGATTGGTGCATATTTAGTCGAGGACTTTTAAGGACCTTTCTGATTTTCTTTGGGGGTAAGGCCCTCAGGATGAGAATGTTAGATAATGCAAAGAATGCTTTTCCAGTTATAATGGTCGTGAGCTCTGTGGCAACTCTTATTATCGGCTTGTTATGAGCTGTGCGTGGGCAGATCGAAACGCTGGATTAGGAGCCATTTAATCACACACAAGCGATAACGGAAAACCACGCCGAAAAAAAAGATGTGCCGCGCGATGTTGTGCTCTTTCGTAAGAGTGGAAACCTGCACGGTTTTGCCCGTCACTATGTTGCAAACGGTAGCGATGCAGAAGAAGAGTACCGAATGTATTATGCCAGGCAGTTTGTTACTGTATAGCGGAGACCGCTGATTGGTCAGAATGCGCTGTCTTAGCGCGGTATGTTTGAAAGAATCGCTTAGGTTTCTTATCACAATGGTTTATCGCCCACTTTCGTCGTTTGTCCGCTCTTAGTATAAACAGTCCTATGGGAAACGACAGTATTCGATATTTTAACATCGAGAACATTTAACATTCGCCTGAAATGGGCCTCTTCAGTGTTTATAACCAGAACGTTGCGGAACGTCTTATGCATACAAAATAGATACACAGTGCTGCCGCAGATCCCGGTAACTCGTCCCATCATGGGAGGCACTTTTTTTTTTCATGAATAAATACATGTTGTAGATACACTCAAACGTTTCTTTTTTGAAAGGTCTGTACGGTTTCCCCGAAGTCTGCAAGTGTTACGAGACCACCAACTTGAGATGTCTCCAAGGCAATTTGACTGAGGTGCCGCAGGATGTCTCCAACAATTTAACACATCTGTAGGTATCTTCTCTGCCCGTTTTGATTTAGTAGCAACTCTCTAATGAAGTATTAGCGCGACCGTAGACGTTAAGTGCCGGAAAGACTGTAGGCGTTTGCTCAACCAAGACTGGTCTGTGTGTTTGTCGTCAGCTTGAGACAGTTACACGTGTGAAACGATGACGCCCCCCGTTACGAGGGCGGGCAAACGGGGGAAATGGGATAACGAAAAGGCGGGTATTTCAGTTCGAACAAAACATTCTTACTTAAAGATTACGGTTTTTGTAATAGTAATGCATGAACAGTTCTTGACAACTGGTGCAGTTTACGTGCATGTTTTTTATGCGTGATTTTCAACTACATGCAATCAGTAGGCAATGGAAGTTCGCCATACGGGACTTTTGTTTTAAGTTAGGTTCACACATTGCCGAGGTATTGCCACGAATACTCTATTTATCACAAATAAAAAAAAAATTAGCCCCGATTCGTTGTTTGCAAGAGTAACGTATGAATGAAACAAGACTAATCAAGAATTAGGTACGAAGTGAAAGCCGAATCGGTGCAAATCAAACCGAATGATTGCAATTTAGTACCCCCAAAAAACGATTCGTAGCGACTTTGTCAAGAACAATCTGCCTTGAGCAGAAGCATCCCCTCAGCAATTGAAAAAGAGCCATGTTGGTCGGGAGTGTTCCTTTTTGTGCGGAGTTATGCGACTGCAACACAGGCATTTCACAGCCGTTTGCGAACTCCGCTGCGAGGAAAATTGCATCCTCTCTTGGTTGCTCTCGGGGTTAGCCTATAATATACGAATAACTCCAGAACAGAAAGACCAGAATCATGCCGGTTTTGTTGCGAATTGAAAAGGAGCAACGACTGCATAAGACATTAAACCGAGAATTGAATCTTTTTCCCGAATCAGCGGGACATTAATTGGAACATGTCAAAAAATTGTCTGGGCATTTTCCAATCTTTACCGATCTTTCAGCGAACGACCAAAAATCATCCTGATGCAGCTAAAAACCATCCCCCTCTATTGCCATTCGAGGCGGTTCACTTCAAAATCGGGAATGTGTCGACCTTGCTTGAAGTGCCTTGACCTGTGGGACAAACGAATCAGGCGAACCGATATTTTATACCCTCTGTTCAATAGTTGCATGCGGCGTTCGTGCTTACGGTAACATTACACTTATCGAACACTTACAGCATTGCAAATAACAACAGTAAATACGAGACGCGCTGTAAAACTAACACCCATTTTCTTTTCGATTTATGTTTGACCGTCATCCTACATTACAGTGACCCACTATTCCACATCCAGGCTGAAGAATCATGAGTAATTACCTGTAGCATGATACCAGTATGCGCATGAGTAATGCAACTTCCACAACGTACAGTGCCCTTGACACAAAGTTACCTGCAAACACGTTATAAAATCTGCATTACTTCGAAAATTCAGATTAACCGCGTGGGTAAAGGAGTTTTCAAACATCCACAAGTCTTCCCCGTTTAGCAAGTTCGACCAGCAACAAATTGTCAACCAGTGGTCGATTTTGACTGGCTACCCATAGGCATGAGATATTTACCGAGCACCAGGTAAGGTCGACTGGTGGTTAACAAATTGTCGTCGATCGAACTCGCCCTAAGTTTCAACCTGGTTTGGGAGTGGCAGATGGTCATTGTCTTGCAGCAAGACGCTTGAATGCACCGAGTCCCCTCGTCCGAATTTTTCAAATGTTGCATTCAAAACCGGAATAAGAATACAGCCTGACAATGGCGTATCCCACGGGGATGGAGAAGGGGGAACGTTGCCCCCTGGAGACATGTTGCCAATTTTAAAACTTTTTTTTTTGCCTGAAACTTTTTTACAGAATGGAATGCGCCAGCATATTCAGGGTGGTATTTTTTCACAGATGAAAAATTGGGGCATTTGTCCCCCCTGAGGCCTGAATACGCTACCGCAGCGTGGGCTGACGGTGAAGAAAAAACTGTAAGGTCCAGGGCCTTCTGTAAACCAATCAATTAACTTATTAATGAAATTTAAATTTATTTCACGTACTTTAATCCATATATTAATGCACCAATCAAGTAAGCCTTTGGTTACCGTTGAGCAAATTTGCTCCTCACTAATAAGTTTCTTGTTTGTGATCGTGTTTTTGACAATTGCTGTATGTCGAATTGACCCGTTAGGTTGACAGACTGCCAATCTCTTTAGTCCTGAGAGTGCAAAGTTATGCATTAGTTTGATCCCTCGGGCGTGAAAAGCACGTTGCTGTTTGCCGTGTTCCAAATTACGTCTCAATCCTCCTTGTGTGGTCTCACAAGGTCACCATTCATTTTCACAAGTGATAGTGAACGCACGTCTATGGATATCTGCGTGTACCGAAAATGCACGAGAGATATGACTGCTTATTAACTTCATGTGATGCAAAGAAATATTAGAATACATGCGCGAAACGAGCAATGTGACGTAAATACGGTACCATTCAGTGTAAATAAATAAGTTCAGTATCAGGTAACAACCCGGGGTCTTATCAGCTTCGGTTTATTACCAGCAGTAGCCTTTGTCGTGGGGCGCTGACACAAAGACACATCCAGTGAGCAAACATTTAGAGACCTCGTTTTGAAAGTTTACAAGACCCGACATGTCAATTCCCATGAAATTTATTTAAATTCTGTTTGATCATATAACAATACACCGGTAGTCCAGCGTGTTTCGAGCCGTTCTTTTCAAGATTACACGTTTTTCACAATAACTGAAAACGATAATTGCACTTACGATCATTCTTGATGATTGACTGTGGCTGTATGTAATGACTTTAAGATGGGATTCGTTCTGAAGCGATTGTCTTGTTCTTTGGAAAAACAAGGAAACCCGTGACTTGACGTTGAACAGGGTGTACATGTACATTGCAAGCGTTTCGACGGATTAATGCTTCAGAGTCCCGGCAGCTAATGATAAGCCGGCGACAGGTGTTCGTGGAAGTCCTGAGGAAATGTAAAAGGCACCGCAGTTAAATTGCTTCGGTAATCATAATCCCCGGCGATCGAACACAACCTAATTTATCAAGCGGACGCGGGCCAGGATCAGAGCAGCACCCGCTCTGCTCCCGGGTGTGCAGGGTTCCAGTAGACAAGAGACAAATAATGATGTGCAGAGTGAAACATCCGTCTTGCTCAGTCGCGCTAATGTGAGCCATTCAGTTTAAACATGGGGACAATCACGCGGTTTTGATTTGGGGTTTTTTGTGTTTTTGTGGGTTTTTTTCGTCTGGCGTTTTGTTGTTTTTGTTTTGTTTTTGTTTTTGTTTTTTGTCTAGCGGGATCACAGTTTTCAGTGAGAGATTCCACTGCAAAACGGGCGATTCACATTAGTGCGCCTCCAAGAGTTTGCAACGCGTTGGCCAATCACAACGCGCGAAGTCTTTCGACCCTTTCCAAACGCACATTGGGTCGACAGATTTCGCACATCGGGATTGATCAACCACGAATGTTTCAGAGGGGAATTATTAACTGCGCATGTCCCATTTTAAGGTCATTTTAAGGTCCCATTTTAAGGGCCATGAGAATTCGTGGCAGGCAAGCAGCTGTTTCATTTCATGACATTTACGTCTTTTTTTCACTTTTTGGAAATAAAAATTCCTGGCCAAAATTTTTTCATGGTAAGATAAGGCATTTTCCTTACCTATTTTGTGAAAATAAAATTGAGAAATAGTACCAGAGTAGTCAAAACAAGTGATTTTTGAAAAGCTCTTTTCGTAAGCGGTAGTTTGTTTACGTTTTGATGCGATTTTTCAAAGGTGGGCTGTGGTGAAGAAATGTGTGAAAGTTTTAGATTTCCTGACGGTTTTCCGTTCGATCTTTTCCTCTTCCCGACCGGACGCGTTTACATATCGACCTAATTCAGCACCGATTCCGTTTATTCTGCATCGTACGCCTTGCGAGCCTAAGATTTCAGTGACTCGGGAACGAAAGGCGAACACAAAAGTACAGTAAGTTAATATGAAGTTTATTATTGAAACCGAAGTCTAACTGCCATTAGAACACTGCCATTATCACAATGCATGACCCACATGAACATGTTCACCCGCTCCGACGAGAATTTCCACGTACATGTAAATGCACGTGTACGCTGCGGTACGCGTTTAACAGGCCGCAGTACCGTGCACGGTACGTGGCTGGATCGGTTCTATGCATGTAAAACCCACGTAAATCGCGCTGCGCAGAAGCATCAAATATAACTCATGAAAGTTGAACAAAAAATCTAGCTAGATACAACTGATTGTAATGTGTAGTTGAAATTCTGACCTGTCATATGCAGTGTCTCACTTCTAGGAAGACTTCTAAAATTGAGAAATTTATTGGAAAAATGACCAAGAGATCGTTTGAAAATGGAAATAGTTTATCATCTTAGCAACCACTTTGAGGCTAAACTTCATGTGTAGCATTTCTTTTCGTGGTTCTGTAGTATTTTATTCGGTTAAAGCACATACAAAGAGTTTCAATGTTATCGTTTGTTAACTTTGTGCAAACGAAGTCTTCAAAAGGAGAAGGCTCAACAGGGGATTGCAACTTGCTAAGGACAAATCCGTAAGGTTTACGAAGGTCCGGTCAACCGCGCACGGTCGAAGTCGTTAATTTCCACACACCGAATGGAAGTGAAACATGGGCTACGTGCTACGCGTTGCCAACTCGTGGAGGTACGCCTGTATTGAACATGAGAAAATCACATTGGGCTGAAATCACCACATGAACTTGAACTAATTCGGTGCAGCGTCGAGGAGTACGCAGCGAACCGCCGTAATGAGCTGGGAAGCATTCGAAGTCACATTTACTGGGAGAGGGCTCGATTCGTGTAATCAAAAGGCACTTTTCCTATTACCGGCGCGATTCAATGGGACCATAATCGAGGCCCTAATGCCACTCACGGTCCTGGGATAAGTCCTAAGTCACTGTTTCTTCGCTTATGTTCTACGGCCTAATTCTTTCGTTACGGCCTAATTCTTTCCAAGCAGGAAAAAAAAAGAAAATGCAAAACGATGTACACGTACATTTTATAGTAATGGTTTTATATACCGCCTGAAGCCGGTTCGTAGTTGGTGGAAAAGCGAATACAAATACGACTTTACGTCAGATAAAATATTTGCACTGGGAATTCGCGGCAGTTGACGACATTTCAAGTGAAGTAAAATTTCGCTGCAAATCTTTCATGCAGTCAAATTCTCTCTACTTTCACATTCGCCTGTTGTATGATTTGACCTTTATACCACTTTCCTTGAAATGTTTTTAAGAATAGTAATTATCAAATTTGTAATAACTCAAATAACTCTGAACTAGCGGAAAGTCAACCAGGACTATATGTAAAACAAAAGTATGCTCGAATGACTGCCTACGCTCTTTTCAAAGACGCCAAACGTGCCTCAGTGTGCTTTTTCTGCGCTCAGTTATTTTCCATAAAACGTGGTGATCCTCGGCAGATGGTTTATGGCGGCACAATATTCCATTCACATAAATGTTCCCCAAGCATTCGCGCATAGATGCCTTCCTGTAATCACGACGGAGTGTCTCCAGGGGCCCTTCGTGATCTCCCATGGTGTCGCTCTTGATACCTGGTCGGTCATTGCGTTTATCATTCTAATCATAGATGCACCTATCCCCGCTGCCAGTGTCTCTTCGTTCAAGACAAAATAAACTACATAAATCTCTCCCTTTTGTCTACACCTTAGCTCTCTATTTATAACCAAAAACAGCTGCCCCTAGAAAGACAGTATTGCACTCTCATGCGACGGGTGTTAGTGATCTTTTTTGGTTGATATCCATAGGAGTCGGGAGTTTTCACGTGCCTGTCACTGCAACGGCTAATTTTACATTCCCCTTGTGCCTGGCGGCCGCTCTCAGCTTGATGAAATGGAAACTCGCGTGGAGCGTCATGGGAAACAAGACCTTTGCTTGCAGCTCGAAACACTGTGACTTTGGGGGATTACTTTTCCAGCACCGATCCTTAATATACCTCCCCTCTTCCCCGTTGAGAAATTAGGGAAATTCACCTGTGTTTAATTTTAGGTCCTGCGTGGCACTTGCAAGGGATGAGGGCCGATTTTACAACAAGTCCTAAGTGCAAATATCTTTTATTTATTACAGGCACAAGAATTTGGCCCAACTCCTAGGCCTAGGCTTTTATTTTGTGTTGCCTGCTCGTCCATCCACCGTTAATGTGCTAAGTAACGTGGACATGGTTTGCAGGTTTTCACTCTTTCTGCGCTTTCAGTACTTACCTTGCCCATATCAGATCCTCTTTCCTTCAATTTTCAACCTTACGAAATGTCCTGAGCACGATTGGTATTTTGTTACAACGACAGTTGCTTGTAACTACTGGGTGTGAGTTCGGTTAACAGTATGCATTGGCCAGCCCGTATGTTTAGCTGGAATCTTTAGGCCTATACCTGATATGGAAGTCACGTTTCCCTTACAAAGTGCCCGAGGGCGATCACCGTGAACAATCTTGTGCTTTTCGCCAGCTAAAATTCACCGGAAATACGTCTTGAAATCGTCGTGAAATGTTGAATGTTGGGATCAAGTCCTAATCCCCTGCGGTCGACGATGGAAATTCGTGAAGCGATGACAGTCCAATCGTTATGCGTGATTCGTAGTTATCAACTTCATCAGAGCATCATCTCTACGCTCTTGGAAAGTGAAAGTTTAGTCTAAAAAAGCAACTGCTGTTTTCTCTGTCGAATTTTGTTTCTTTTTAGGGAAGGTTGAAATTTTCTTTACATTCGACAAGGTTAACATATTCACAGCGCTCACAACTCTTAATTTGACCCTCAGAAATTTGAACGGCAACATGTTGAAAAACTTGGAAGATGGTGCCTTCGGAAGATACACAAAATTGAGATACCTGTGAGTACCCTCTGTATAAGTGCTACCCGGTTAATCACTTCATAAAGTGTCTATGTCTCCCTGTATGTGAGAAATTGTTTTGCTCTTTTCCTAAAATCGGAGTTTGATTAGTGTTTATTATGTGAAATGGCATGTTATACCTAGTCCTGACATGAACTCTTGTCAAAACGTCTCCTCTCTAAATTAGCAATCTGATGGGTAACGGGATCCGAGAGCTGCCACGAGACGTGTTCCGAGGACTGATGGATCTTGACAAACTGTAAGTTTCAGACTGACCGAAAAGTGCAAAAAAAAAAGGGAGGCACAAATTTTAAGACAGAGTCTCCAACGTGGCAGTGAATTTCGAATTTAAATTCGTTTTTGCATGGAGGGAGCTTTTTACTTTGTACCAGGAGTTTTGGTGAGTAAGCGACCAAACGTATTTGATCAATAACCGAGATGGCAGGAGCATCGGACCTGTGTTGGCCTACAGGCAGTTGGCCTACGGTATAAGATGCCTTTAGAGGAGTGTCATTGTAGTTCTCTAGAACTTTTTGTATCAGTGTCTGTCTTATTCCCATAACAGATTCCTATCTTCGAACAAGATTTCGTCATTAAAGCCTGGGACATTTCGATTTCTGCGGAACCTCACCTGGCTGTAAGTAGAGCTGTACAGAGTGAGTGTTTACCGAGACACGATTTGTAAAAGACCTCTCCTCGTGATAAGCTGAAAGTGCCTAGAAAATCTTGCACAGGAAGGTTTCAAGTCTAATGTCAGTGAGTTATGTTGAAGCATTCTACTCGAGTTTTTCTCGTGGAACAAACCCATGGACCCCCCTCCCAAAAAAGGAGCTGTAGTCAATCATACACAAACCACTGTAAAATGAAACAGGAATATCTAATGACAGAATAAAACATGGCATAGTCTCACATTTTGCCATACGTCACTCTTTAAATCCGTGCCTAGTTTACCAGTTTGGTTTTATAGAATCGTGTGTCGCCATGATTTAATTTTTGTTTTGTGCATGAGAAACATTTCGTTGTATGAGGTTTGCCTCGGAAAGATTTCAAGGGGTGAAAGCACAGTGGGCTAGATACGTACATTCAAGACACGATAAGAGTGCATTCCAAGATATTGCTCGGGTTTCAAATAACTTTTTGAGTGCGGACATAACGTTTCCTTTTTCGACCTCTTCCTGATTATTAGGAGTCAAGCAAAAAAACAAACTTTCAGCTACATAACATCGTTGCTATTTGATTTACACTTCTCTGGTTCCTCAATATTCTGTTTTGAATTCCCCTTGTCAATTTTTTTTGTTTTCAAATACCTTTGGAGTGACTGATCGGTGAGAAACTCTCACAGAAAAGCAGAATTTTTTTCGCATAGTATGTTTAAAGGTAAGGAACGATGTGCGCTAAGTGTGAAGCAATCCTAGTAAAGCGATGAGCGTATGGAAGATACCAAGACTAGTCTAGTAACTGTCATACTCGTTGGGGCTGCAGTCTGGGGAGTGTCCTTGCCTCATCGAGTTTTTATATAGAGCTCTATGTCTTGCCTCAATATCCTGCCTGTATCTATTTCAGAGGTCTCGGGGTCCTTTAAAGGGAATGTTTCTATTGTTTTGGTTTAGGTGAAGATCATGAGAGACTTGGACTGGATTTGGATCTGGGTTGGAGTTAATTCTTAATATTTCCTCGCGGTTATCATCACAACTTGTACAGGAATTTTGTACCTCGCAATCCTTGCAAGACAGTTCAAGACTAAATCGGATGGACTGTAGAAGTGTCGGTTTGCAGACACCGCGTCTGTTTTAGTTTTATGCCTAAAGGTAGCCTACAGTTGATATAACAGCAGAGAAAAACCTCGGGCTCACTGTGCAAGAAACCTTGTTTGATTTAAAGCAGTGGTTTCCCTTGAAACCCCTTGCTGTTGGCGGGATAGCATTATCAAGGTCTCGCCCAACCCACATTTTTTTGGTAATTGGTCCAACTTTATCATTGTAGCATAAAGTCGGCTGTCTCAACTTTTCTCCCTCGGAAAAGGTTGTGAATTTTAGGTGAACTGGCTCAGGCCACATCACCAATTGGTTTTGGGTAATTTCAGTTTTGTGGGTATTTTTATTGTTCGTGTGTGATTTTCTTGACAATAATTCTCCACGGCTTTTCTTCGACTTAGAAATTGGCATCAACTTTAATCCAGAAGTGCGCAACGTCATGATGTTTCCTGAAGCTTTTAAAGTTCCTTTTAGTGATTGTTTGCATGGCTGTCGAGTTCTATCAAGTAAAATTCCCTAGCCTACAAACGTTACAACTTGTCTCAAGTTCAGATGTGTCTATAGACTAAACGTCACGATCAGAGTCTAACCACCGCCTCCTCAGCCTTCTCTCACTGGCTTTTTGTCGTGGAGCACTCCGAGAGAGGTCCCAGCCGCACCTTATATTTCGCAATGACGTTTTGAGCTGTCAAATTCATCGCAGCGCAGTGTGTGATCCTATGGATCCCAGCCTCCTGGGAAGTGCCTGCTTCTTTGTTGAGAAAATGAATAGCTTATGGTTCCTGTGTCGAGAGGCTTGACTCAGATTTTTAAAGAGAGATACAGAAATACCTTGTACGGGCAGGATTATCAACTGTTGCCTTGTTTTTGACCCAAGACTAATAGAACAAAGAACTTGTGTACATTTTGTTACTTTTTCACCCCATGTAAAAGATTTGGTTTTGGATCCGGTCTTGGGCTACATATTAAAGTATATGTATGTTTTGTCTTTTTTTTACAATGCAGGTTCTTAAATGATAACGAAATTGAGGTTCTGGATGAAGAGGTGTTCCAGGGACTGGAGACGGTATACTGGCTGTAAGTTTATCGTAAATGACAAATCAGGGAATCAAAGTTTATGAATTCGTTATTCCAAGTGCGCGTGCGCGTGTTGCCAATTTTGCCAATTTCATCGTCACGCAAAAGCAAATTATCAACCAGTAGTTTTGAAAACACGACGGGACCTGTTTTGCAGAAAGAACTTCACACCAGTTTCAATTAAACGAACGACCGACTGTTTGTGCCTTTGTGAAATTTACTGAACTCGCTTATGACTCAAGCCTTTGTAATTATTTTGCACTTGTTTTCGTTATTATCATCCAGTTGCTCTGTATCCAGAACATGGTAACACAGGCGTAATGTACGTGTTTCATGGTAGCCGGAGACCCTTGCTTTTGATATTCAGTAATAAACAAGATGGCCGCTTGGGGTAACGGTATGTTTTTAAGTATTAACGGCTTGTGACCCGTGTTTCGTGGAAGCGCTCTAGGTCGATTGAGAAATACACCTGCTGTTACTATTATACACTCAGTACTGCAATCGGACTGTTGTAGTACTGTCACTTTAGTATCATAGAGCGCCCTCAATTAACTCTTTCTGAAAGCGAAGGTAATGCTCCGTATCGACGGTGAGCTGGTTTTGGGCAGCGAAATCCGGCCTCCCAACGGATGATGGCTGATGCCTTGAATTGACATGATGAATTCCCGTGCCTTTTTCCTCTGATAAATTGAGCGTTCAGATCTGTAGTTTTGACAGTGAGATATCAGCATAGTCCCGCAAGTCGACCGCTTGATGCATCGCTCAGCATAGGACACCGACAGTGATCGCGTACCTCAGCGTGTACCAGCCAAATTTATTGCTAGCATTAAGAGCAGTATAAGCGCTGCTCCAGAGCATCTTTTTCAGATGCTGATCCGTATTGACCTGGGCAGGTGTCCCCCCCCCCCGGTGAGGGGGAAATCTTCATTTTTTCGCCGTTACTGTTTCGGTGTGGATTCATGTAAATCCTTAGTAATTGCATTTTTTAAAAATCTCTCTGACAATAAAAGTTAACAGTCCAAAGAAACGTGCCTTTGAGTCAACTTTTGGAATAAGTCCCCTGTGGGGATACCGGCTAACGATTGATGCTATCACTCAGAAGGATTCTGTTCCCAAAGAGCTTAGCCGTTTGTTTTTTGGCTTCTTTCTTTGTTTTTGGAGGTTTTGCGTGTTTTGTTTGTGTAATTTTTTTGTATTTTTTTAGGCAAGGCATTAGTATGGTATTGTTTGCTGGTGTTCTTCGTCAGCGAGCTGAAGGTTAATACATGTACAACCGATGTACTGAGGGTGAACTTTCGTGGTATTTTTTAGAGTACTGCTCTTCCTGAATTGGTTTTGACTTAAAAATTTATCAGTAACGATGTGGCATGCCACTTTTTGGTGATAAACAACGGGAAGAAGTTTTTTTCATCGTATTTTGTATAATTATTATTGCTTTATGTTGTATGGGAGCTCTACTGATTTCTTGAAGCATTTTCCGTGGCGCGTTTCCCATCTAAACGAATGAGAACAAAACTAGTTCCTTTGTAAAAGAACCGGCATAATTTGAAAGTTCATAATACTAATGTAATAGTGATGCTATTTTGTTTATCTTTCTTGGAGAAAAGCAACCCAAAATGAAGGAAATGGGTCTAGATGAATATTTATCGGTGTGCCGTGATTTTCAGCCTACATTATTTGTCTTTTTCCAGAATGTTACAAGAGAACAGAATCAGGAATCTCAAACGTGGAATTTCATTCAGGGATCTCCCCGCACTAATGTGGCTGTAAGTATAATTGACCCTCGCCTTAACATCATCAGCAAAAAACAACAACAGAAAACCAAACTTCACTGCTGTCAACCAAACAAACAATGCGTACATTGCAGCATACGAAGCTGAATACGAAGCTGTGCGTCGTTGAGCTATGCAAACATTTTCAGCAAACCGACTTGAAGTTAAAGTAACACATTGACACTAGGAACATGCCCTCTTCGCTCTTTACATGGGTCTACACTCTGAACACTGTCTAGCAATTAAACGCAATCTTATAGTATCACTTTTTGAAGAGAAGCTAGAACTTACTTTGTTGTTTCCTAGACATCAGTATTCAATATCTAAACGCTGTCCATCATCACTGTGAACATCCATGTTTAGTATTTCAGCATTTTGAAAAGCTGATGGCAAGAAAGTCTCTTGGAAATGTAGTTATTCCTTTGATCTGAATCCCATTTTTTGCAGGGATATCTCAGATAGTCCTCTGAATCACCTGTCGCCTGATAACTTCTCTCTGTCTGGTAATCCTCCCCTGAGTATCCTGTGAGTATATAAACATATATTCTTTGCGAAATCCCATTTGAATCTTTCTATGAATAAGTTCGTTAAACTGTGGGTGTTTTCAAGTCAACGTTTCATAAACATACAGTTGTATATTTCTACATTAAGAAGGGAATGCAGCATGTGCTTGGCTTAAACCTTCGTTAAGAACGGATTAGGAGAATGGAGGATGATGCTGGACTGAGCCGCAGCGAGGGACTTTATCAGCGTCTCTTTTCCTTAACTCATTTAAGAACGACGAAGCACACATCACAATAACCTGATGAGTCCGAAAGTCAAAACAAATGGAAATGTCTTTTAATCTGGTTTTGAATATTTTCCTGTTAACTACTAAATGCCACAGGTATTGTGGAATGAATGGGTTGAATAGGAATAAGGTGAAGAATTATGCAAGCCCACATTTCAAGAACTTGCGCTCCGATTCGAATGAAGTATTCAATTCCAGGCTGCCGTCATTACAGTCATCAAATTGTCAAATAAATTGCGGAAATGACTCAGTTTGGAGTGCATCCTCCATCAAGTGGACGGTTTGGTCTTTTTTGTAGGACGATGAACAACTGTAATATCAGCACTATTCACGGGGACACCCTGCAACAGTTTAGAGATCTATCAACACTGTAAGTTTGACACTATTGAACAGTCGCCATGATGTCTTTTTAGAATATCAGTTTGCTGTCAAATGGAGGTACACAGTGCGCCATGAAATATAAATTGAGTGTTCTTTCAAGTCCAAACGAAACAGAGAAATACAAACAAGATCGATTTTCAACAAAGTTTTAATGTGTTTCACTTGACCCGTGCATTTCAAATCACTTTTGTTGCCAGAGCATTAGCGTCCATTGGCAAAGAAATACGGGCATAGGAAATAATCAAGGACTTGATCTCATTTCGTGGCTCTGCTCACAAAGGAAATTTGCACTTAAAATCATCATTCTAGGCTCAAGGCACCAGCACAAACATTCTTGGCTTAGTAAAAACAGACTCCTTAATTCGAGGGATTTGTGCATGCGTCTGACCCAAATTTCCTTCATACGCTGTAAAGATACACCTGTGGCACGTTAGGGAAGAGTGTTCTCCTGTGGTTGATCCAAGATTTTTCGCTTGCACTTAGTAGAAATTGGGCTAATCTGGGCAGTCTTTGTCGCAGATCGACCAAGGTGAAACTATTAAGGAATACTAAAAATCAGAAGCACCGTCAAGATCAAGTACAAGTCGACAAGATACTATGATTGGTTCTAGAAGGACAAAACCCATAAGGAAATAACAATTTTTACTGGATGCGTGCTCTGTGTGAAGATTAAACACAGGAAGAAAACCCTCTCTTGTAGGCCTTCTATACCTGCATGCACAAACTACCGCTTTCTGATTGTGACGTCATAAACAGAGTGAACTATAACCTGTCCTCTGCACTAAGGGTATAAATGAGCATTAGTCTGTGATCGTATAGACGACATCGTTGCGAAAAAAAAAGTTTATTTTGATTTCTCTTCTAGATTCAATGCCAAAAGACACAGTTCAGTTACAAGATTTCTTATTTCCATTTTCTTGAACTTTTAAGAACCCAGGGTTTTAGAAGAACCTCTAGTTAAGGGGATTCGTGTCTTTCGTTCTGCTTTAGTTAACAAAATGAATAGACGGCATTATTTTGGCAGATGTCGTCCGATTGTCGTAATTAAGAATACTGCTGATATTGCTGAAATCAGAATATAGTTTGAAATCAGAACATTTAGGTTTGCAATGGCACGCTGTCTCATGTATGTATATTGTTTATCTTGCCTACAGACATCTCTCTGAAAACAAGATTCAGCACTTCCCTTCAGGTCTGTTTCGAAATATGATCAACCTAACGGACTTGTGAGTGTTGACTTAATGTCTCTGTCGACTGATATTATGCGCGCGTACGTTCCGATGTAGACAAAGTACGATAGCATGCTGCTTTTGTAAATAAGACCCTCTAGGTTCGAACGCTTAGATTATAGTACAAAATATTTTCACTTGCATCAGTAATCCCTTCTGCAGAAATATTTCAACCAACTTACAAAGAATGTAAACACAGTTTTTTGGGGGGCGTCTGGCTGTATTGCAAGCGTGTTGTTGATACAGACACCATGCTCTCGGGATTTTACTCATTACTTAGCACGATAAAGTGAACGCAGCTGTCGTTTCTTGTGTCGTAAAGACAAAACATGAAATAGCTACACAAACACCGAGTGGTGATGTCCCATTGTGGGTTCGCTAATGCAGTCACCAGGCCCTACACCGTAAATTATACACTCTGCAAAAAGTGGATTGAAGGAGTTGGGCAGGATTTCTGTTTAAAAACGAACAAGTACCGGTAAGTGTGAAATGACCCGGGGCTTGTTTTTGTAATTTGGGCAAACCACGTCCAGCCTTGGGGGCTGATTCTCCCCATGGGTGCAGGCCGTTGATATGTTGGCTGACGTAAGATGAAATCAACGTGAACAATTTATTGGTGTCCATTTTAAGACCCTTCACATAATCGTTACTCCGTGTATGCTTCCTGTAATCCTGGTTTCCTTTTTGACCACTTTGATTGATCAAAAAGAAAGCGGTGTAAACAAACTCAATGCTAACGAACAAGAGTCTTTTTTCTTTCATCAGTAAATAAAATTAGCGTGGTCCAATTATATCGTGCTTTCCCATGATGGATCTCTGTGGAGCTTGACAGAAATAAAATGTATCTCTCCCGTAGGGCAATTGCGAATAATCTAGCGACGTCCCTGCCCGAGGATCTCTTTGATGACTTGGTTAGCCTGGATGTCTTGTGAGTATATACGATTCAGTGGAGCGTGTGTAGCAGAATTCGTCCCCTGCGATTTGAATGCATACCCAATCCATTCCACAACCGAGTACATACAGAAGATGTGTTGAGCAGACGTGTTCCAACATAACAGCAATGCTGTGTTTGACTTTCTCTTTTTCTGTATTATTGATTGGCATATACGGATCCAAATGTTGCCACTATGAAAAAGATGCAATGTCAGAGGTTAAAAGGTGCATGTGAAAGTTTTGTTTTTGTTTTTTTTTTTACTTTCTGAATACTCTTCTATCTTCGACGAATACAGGTATACAAACTATTTGAAACACCGTTTTAGGTTAGGTGTATTGCAAAGGGTCCTTTTTAACATTTTTTAAAAACCATTTTTAACAATTTTTTTTAGAATGGCCTTTGTTTTTCTAGACGACAAAGGGCATTTTGCTGCGGTGTCATTTAGGGAAAACACTTTTCGGATTGCGGTTTTCTGTTCAAATCGTGAATCCAAAATTTACCCTCTTTGAAACATTTTTGTCAAAGGGCTGTTCATTGGCTTATTGCCATGTACTTCCAAACGATGAATCACCGAAGAAAATAAAATTTATATCAGCAAAATATCGAAAATTCCGGCAGAATTGAGATTTTTCCCCTGAATCTTTGCTCATAAATATGGAAATCTGCATTAGCATAAAACCAAAAAGGTAGCAAAATGTTATTTTTAAATAGTGGAACCAAAGTGAAATAACGTTTAATTGAAATACGAAAGTGCAGTTTTAAGCTCTGTCGTTAAAAGGCTCCTCTTTGGTGATTTATGTGGTGCTCGTTGTGCATTTGATGGTGATACTTGTTAGAAGAAAAAAAAGTTTCTTATTCATGGTTACCTGCATAAATAGTGTCGGCCGATATTCAAACGTTACTGAATCAGAGCACTGTGATTGTCGACGGGTACATTTTGCTCAGGGTTCGGTCATGATTAATGTGAAATTTCAAATGCTTACTGAAGTGAATGAATTTGGCTTAAAAGGGTTTTTGTCAACAATGATTGGCCATACAAAGTTGGTAATTAATGAGCCAAATACTATGAAATACCTTGTATTGCTGTCATAAAAAGGTGAGGCAGCCGCTTTTGTAAAAAAATTAAGGTTTCTTAATAAATAATTGTCTTTGATTTTTATAATAATTGGCATTCTTTTTCCCAGAAATTTAGGCGGCCTCGTCATTAAAAATATCAGTACAAGGATGTTCAAAGGACTGACGAATTTGCAGCACATGTGAGTATATTAACCCAACGAGTTTCCCTTAACCTCTGATTATCTTTGCGACAGTTGATAGTGATGTTATGAAGTCTGAAAAGGTTTATATTTTAAGAGAGCAATTCTATTCGTCGTGATTAATGTTAGATACTCCTTGAGCATTGTTTTGTCTCTGAGGAGAAACAAAACCAGCGGCACAACTCTCGCAAAGGTTCTGTAAAAAAAAAAAGTTAAAAAAGCACTTTCAAAAGAGGTGTTTGGTTTCATGTAATCATTCTTGTTCAAAATACCATTTGTCAGTTTGAATGAAAAATCCCCTTTCTGGTAATGTTTTTTTGCCTAAGACGATGTTGGCTTTGTATATTACAAGAGAAAAGTCAATACAGGCGTTTCTCAATAGTGCGCCACCAAGAGTTTGCAACGTGTTAGCCAATTATAATGCGTGAAATCTGTCGACCCAATGCGCGTTTGGAAAGGGTCGACAAATTTCACGCTTTGTGATTGCCAACGCGTTGTAAAATCTGGGTGGCGCACTATTGAAAATCGCCCGTATTCCTCTGAGATAATTGACTCGTTGCTGATGGTTCGTTGAAGCAATAATTTGATGAATATCTTATCTGGAATCCTTTTGTCCCTGGAGGTTTGACCATTTTTAGGTAATTACTCCAGGCACTGTTGTTGATTTGTTGAATATTACCAGCCGGACAATAACAAAATGCGATTAGGATTTGACATGAAAGACAGACATGCTAATTTGGAGCAAAGCAAGGGCGTGTTACCTTTAGGCAACACAGATATATATCAGAATGAAGTCGTTAGAAAAAATGCGATAAGCCTTTTTTATGGAAAGTCCGTGTCTAAAGTTCTGAAAAAACTTTTTCCAATATGATTTCCGTGATAGACATCATAAAAATCATCTGATTGACACTTTGACATCTGCAGAGAGTTCTCCAAGTTTGCGTACTGCCGCTATGCAGCCCACGTACGCACTTGCAAGCCCAAGTCGGACGGTATCTCCTCCTTCCGGAATCTACTGAAGGACGGCATCTTGCGAGTTTCCGTGTGGACCATCGCCCTCTTGTGTTTTGTCGGCAACGTTGGGGTCCTCGTCAGCCGTTGCCTAATGAAGGCTGAGAATCGTATCCACTCGCTGGTCGTCATGAACCTCTGCAGTAAGTTTTACGGTGACTTAGGTTTATATTTCCTGGTTCAAGTTTGACCACGGTGTGTCCTCACTGGTTTAAAAAAAGGCGCATCCAGCTTGGGTCTGGGGATAGGTTTCCCAAGTAGACACACTGTCATACTTAAAGTGCTATCTCATTTCTTTGAAGAGGGTGTAAATTCTGTTAGGAATTTTAAAAAAAATTAAATTGCGAGGTTTTTAGAAGAAAATTTCCATCTTCCTCCGCCGGACCCAAGATTTGGATACCCCATGTTACAAAACAACAGCAACTGAAGATGGTCGTGGAGTCGCAGAGATAATCGTCGGCAGGCGGGATGATGTCAGCCACATTGCTTTAGTTGCATGCACGTTTTCGTCAGCTATGGAAGGCTGTTCACCTCGACAAAGCATATCATCAAACCGGGAACTCGTGGGAGCCTCTCCAACAAATTCCTTGGCCCATGATGAGCAGTGTATGGCTACATGTGTTTGTCTTTTCCGATCATAAGAAGAGGACTCCTCTGCACTCTAAAAACTTTCGGGTCAGTTTTACCCAGAATTTGGTCCCATTCGGTATGACCCTTTCCTGGGTCAAAAGATGACCCCCCCCTTTCGGGTCACATTTGACCCTTTCAGGGTCATAATTTGACCCGGAAAAGGTTGATACCGAATGGGACCCAACTCTGGGTCAGTTTGACCTGGATGTTTTTAGAATTAAATTAACATACCATCTTAAAAGAGAAAGGCAGAGTAGTCTCGTTCTCCCCATACAGTCAGATGAGCAATGGTTTTTAAGCGTAACCAATGTGTCCTGAAATGTATGTTCTTCAGGCAAAATCTGATAAAGTTAGATTGACAAGAAAACATGATATTTGCAGTGCAGATTATTTCCCCGATTTTTATACAGGCTGTGGTGTTTCCCCGCTTCATACTAACTCAAGTAGCTTGTTCCGCAACGATGTTTGCATGCCGTAGTCCTGAACAAAATGAACAGCCTTCCCTGAATGAGAGTGCACGAATGGTCATGATATCTGTGCATGAAGTGCAGAGTTTTAACCGTGACGCGGACGCCGCGGTCCCCCAGGCCCAGTGCGGCTGATCGGAGGACCTTCGGTTGTTTTGTTTTTGCCGATACCCGAGGACGCTGCGTGTCATGTTCCCCACGGTACGTCCTGCCCATCATGTCATTCTCCTGCGAAAGCCCTGACCGAATCTTGATGTAGGTCAGCCAGAGATGTATACCTTTCCACTGCTGTGCTCAATGCAAGCGGGCTGGCACGCGTGTGGCCTTGTAATTCAAATGACCCTAAAAGCAGAACCGTGTGTCAAATTCGGCCGAAACTTTACATTTGTACTAACGAGGAGTGTTCCTACATGCATGCAAGTTTTCAAGAACTGGGCACGGGACATCCGCGTTCTTAGGGGGGAAGGATCCACCCACCCACCCACCCCCCGGCTGTGAGATGGTAAAAAAAAACCGGCTCTTCTAGGGCTAAAATAGTTGGATTGCTCCTGAAGCAGACAAGTAAAAGACCCGTAGAGTTTGGTACTTCATTTTTTCCTATCCTTGCCTCACGAAGGTAGCGTTTGCTGGTTTATTATTAGACGGCAGCAGACACAAACGAAGATGTTCTTTAATAAGAGTCGGCAGGAATTTAGAGAGAATTATTGCAATCCTTTCACTGGACCTTAGGCGACAGACGGCAAGGAAGATTGATTCCCTGGGCTGTGTATGAAACAGAAGCGAGCATTTTTTTTCTTTATACGGGAATGACGTTCGAGAGTACAGATTGTGAGCGACCGATCTAGGTCTCGTATGTTCACTTTAAGTGAGCGAGCTCCGCTGGGTCTTCGATGTAATCTCTAAATCTGCGTTGCTTACGGTGTCGTCAGAGAGTGCGTGGGTTGAGGCCACACATCTACGGGATTTGCTGAGAGAGGATTGTATAACATTGCCGGCTGTAAACCAACTATTGCGGCCTTTGCACTCTGGGTGCAATGGGGCCAATCCACATTTAAGGATTTCGGTTCATCTTCTTGTGTTTGGAACTGCGATGTAATTACCGTACAAAAGAATGTTTTTGTTAAAAGTGAAGAAGCACGATTTTACATCGACGGTTAAGGTTTACAGAGGCGTCCAAAGTTTAGTGGAAATATGAATATTTTGAATGGCGTAAATAGTTTGAATTATTTAACAAATTTGAAGCACACTTGGACATGTCTCTTTGTTCTTTATTTCCTGAAGTCGAAATTACACTATCAAGCCTCTTTTGAGTTCTAGATTGTAAGCTAAACTAGTTGCGGGCTTTGTTACCTTTTTTAGTTAAATTTAAATCGATTTATTACACCAAAAGGTTGGGCTAGGCCTTTCGCAGAGATGGTAATGGCCCTGGCCTGAGAATCCAACCACTTGGCTTGCCTTCCATTCTCCCTCTTGCCCTCTCTTTCACCAGCCGCGGATTTCTGCATGTCCATCTATCTGTTCATCATCGGCTACCACGATGCTAAATTCCGGAACCAGTTCAACACCTTCGCCCTGGAGTGGATGCAGAGCTCCACCTGCAAGTTCGCCGGCTTCCTGGCCATGTTTTCCAGCGAGGTCTCAGTCTTCATGCTCACTTTCATCTCGCTGGAACGCTTCATCTGCATTGTCTATCCCTATCGGCTGCACAGGTGAGAAAAAATTCATAGTTGGCCAGCATTGAGAGAACACTTGAATCTATAATTAGGCTGACATGTATTAAAAGCACGATTACACTAAGAATTGCGATCAATCTTGGGGCAGAGCTACAGTTAAACAGCAAGCTGATAATTCCAATCAAAGTGTGGCTTGTTTTTCTGCACCATTTGATAATAAAAACAAAGGCTGACCTCGAGAGAAGCTATCGTGATCATGACCATCATCTGGTTCTTGGGAGCCTTGGTGGCCTGGGTGCCGCTGGTCAACGTGGGTTATTTCGTCGACTTCTACGGCAGCAACGGCGTTTGTTTCCCACTTCACATCCACGACCCCTGGCTGCAGGGCTGGGAGTATTCGGCCTTCATATTTCTAGGGCTGAATGCCAGCTGTTTCACTGCCATTGCTATCTCCTACACTGGCAAGTGACTTCTTCTGTGGATTTTACCTTTGGCTAAAAATTGAAATCACTCAGACTTTTAAATGGACTGTAGTGAAGACAAAAATCTCAGTTTTAAACAAAAGAAACACGTCCATGTTAAAGGGTGAAAATATGTCAAAAAGAATATTTTATTCACAGAACTATTTTATTTAATGTAAGTCTAAAGCTTTGAAGAATCACAGTTTGAAATTTTTGATTTGGAACGTTCTTTTTTTAAACAAAAACTACTTCTGAGACCCGAATCGTAAGCAGAATCCACAACATATATTGTATCCTTAAAAGGGGAAAACAAGACATCGATCTTGTACTTACTTTTCGTTTCTTCGTGGGTCTATGAACTGGTTTTTTTCACAGCCATGTTCATCAGCATACAGCAGACGCGAAAGGCGACCACTCACATCGGCAGGCGAGGCGACATGAATTACGCCAAGCGGTTTTTCTTCGTTGTTCTAACAGACGCCCTCTGTTGGCTGCCAATCGCCATCCTCAAAATACTTTCGCTGTGCAGCTATCAAATTCCGGGTAGGCCTCCAGCAAAAAGTTGGTCTTCAGTGAAATGCAGTCGTAATTGCAAGTTTGTTGGGGTATTATTTTGGTTTATTTGGTTATCTTGTTGTCGTCCAGTGTAAGTTTTGTCGTGAAATGTAGTCTTTCTTCTTTTCATTCTTTCTATTCTTTTTGTTTGTTTGTTTGTTGGGTTGGTTTGTTTGTTTGTTGGGTTGGTTGGTTTGTTGGTTGTTGGTTGGTTGGTTGGTTGGTTGGTTGGTTGGTTGGTTGGTCGGTCGGTCGGTC